ATATGCATAGCGCCAAAAAAGCTGACAAAAAACGTTACATGCTTTTTTTTAAAAGGGATTGTTCCGTTGAAAAAGGTCGTATGTCACATATCATTATCTGCATATACATTTTTTTGCAAAGGCAAGATGACTTCTGGATATTATGGACAACGCGAAAAAGTACTCTTTTGAAATTTAATCATTATTCTATGAACTAGTGAACAACAAAGGTTTATGACCGTGTGGCAATGTTTCTGCGTTTATTCAAAAGCTCTGGGAATTACCCAAGAGTTTTGAAAAAACATACGCAAAATATTACCTCTGACTCCAGAAATGTTCATTATGATCGAGATGGTTTAAATAAAAGATAATCGATGGAATTCTTTCAATCTAATATTGAGGACACATTCATGAGAAAAAAAAATTCGATACATGGTGATAACGGTCAACACTTGTGATAAGAGTTGTCCTCGATGTTATGAATTCAGCTAATACGTCCGTCCACTCAGTGTGTTAATATACTTTTCATGTAATCCAGTGATCAATTCGAAAATTAATATCTGTGATTACACAATTAGTCTCACCAGTTTTCGCTACTTTAAGTTTTTTCTCAATGTATTCGAAAAATGAAAGTCTTCCACTGTGAACTAATTTAACTAATTTTTGGAAGATAAAAAATAAAAAAACTCGGTTTTTTTATATACCTCTTGCTGACGTTCATCGAGCCATTACTTATTCAAAAGTGTATTTTGCATGCAATAAATGACGTTTAAAATAAAAAATTAATTAAAAGTCTGTGTAGACTCCATCGCCAGTGAAACCCGAAAATTTCCGATGAAATTCAATAGAAAAAATTTTAAATTAACATGTAATTGAAGGTTTTCCGTTAATTTTCCAACGAAAACATATGAATGGACAGGAAATGTCAATAAATTATATCCAACGGGTTATTTAACAGACTCACCCCGTCACCAGAACCTCGAGTCTCGACAACCGGATATTGAATTAAATTCATTACTTATGGAAAAGTAATTCCGTCACGGTTATGCTAAGACAAATGATTTCTTCATATTTTCAATTGGATGATAATTTGTATTACGGACATTGGATTACACTTGACAGACAATATCTTGAATGGCGAAGTGGAATAGACGAGTGAATTTTAGAAAGGGTCGTTCCACTCTCGATTTGACGAGGAGAGTCGGTAAGACCGATCAGGATTAATCCCCTAAATTTCCACAGCATTATTCCATTAATAATTCTTCCAATTTGAATTCTCTTTCCTTTTTTACATTCATCTACACGATCGATTAAATTAATTCCACCTGAAATAGTGGGTGAGGCCGATGCGAAAAAGGGTGGGCAGATATTGAGAGGAAAAAAATCATGAAACCGCAAATGAAAAAATTGGGGCCAAATATTAAGAGATAAGTTGCATTCACTGTCAATTAGGGGGATTTAATTTCCCTTCAATGACTGATCTATAAACATATTATTCAATGTCTTTAGCGTTCGCCAATTTGATTGGCAATTATCCAATTACCTTCTAAATCTAATTTAAAAAAGGAGCTAGTAAAGTCGACAAATCAATTTTATGAGAATACATAATATATAATTTGATGTTATCTGTGTTTTAAATAAGAATTTTTCGATGTATTCTCATGTCTACATTATAATTATTAAATAAATCATTTTCATGAGCAGTGGAAACCGGTGGGATTTTTCGTTGCATCTGTATTTTTTTTATTTAAGGAAATGCCTCAATTTTTACTTCTATTTTGCGTAATTTCTCTTAATAAAGAAGAAATTACAGCGAATGCAGAGAAAATAAACAAGAAAAAAATACTGAAAACTTACATCAACTAGCATCCATAAGTAACGAGAGATGATTTTAGTCGATCTGTCCTGGGGTTTCGCAATTTAAAAAGTTTCTGCGTGCACTAAAGCATTGAAATAGCGCTCTATTATGTACTCAAACAACTTCTCGTATGTTAATAAATTCACTTTACAAGAATGTCAGGATAAAAATAAGAATCTTCAACAAGCGGAATTGAAGTTGATTCATCTCGTTGATTTGTACCGTTGAAGGGTATCGGCTAGACCCCGATGTGTCTCGGGTTTCATCGGTTTTTGAGCGATGACAGATTTTCGATGAGGATCGAATTACGATCGATTTAACGATAAATA